GCAAAAACTTTACACCGTCTTTCTTGGCCCTGTTCAATCCTTCCAAGTTTTATGGAAATTTGTTAAGTAGTTTTGCATAATGCTGCTGACAAAAATACAAAGTTGGAGGACCGTGAGACCTGTCGTGCAATGTTGTACAGAGATTCGATACCCCCCCCCCACACACACACATTTGGATGCACACCTGCTTGGTGGTCATTATTTCCACCTTTACTTCTTGCCTAATTTCTCTCGCCTTCACAATCCCCTGTTGCCTCTCTGCCTCTCAATCCTTTTACTCACTGTCTCCATGTTATATGTTAGTGTCTGTTGATCTCCGTCAGTAATCTCCCCATCTGAACATCCCTTTACGGATCAGTAGTTGCAGCCTAGTTGTTTGAAAGGTCTTCCTTCAATCTGGACTATTCAGGTTGAAGTTCCTGTGTCTGCACATCCTCCTCCTAACCGGAGTTGTCCTTGAGCACTGCGCTGAGTCTGTACAGGCACCAGGGTCACTGCTCTGTAGCTGATCTTGACCTCTGACCCCCCTTCTAGAGTATATCTGTCTATTCAGTCACTGGGTATGTGAGCAGAGCTGTGTGGAGGCTGAGCAGAGTTACACGGTATCATCCTGGGGGCTTTTTTAGAAAGTCTGGTGTTCTTCTTGCTCGTGAAAAGATCACTCCAATACTTACTGCTCCACCCCAGAAGTATAAGACATTCTTTATATAATGTAGGTAAAAGTTTGAAAAGTGTTTCTCTCACACAGGAACGTTGACTTATCATAGATTGAAACTCAGTCTAGAGCGATTACAAAACATTTTGAGCAGGGAGAATAAATTGCTGCTGCCGCTACACTACACTAAGGTCAGTTTTCACATCTTTTTCTTTCTTTCCTTCTCTCTCTCTCTCTCTCTCTCTCTCTCAGTGGTGGGGATGTTGAAGTCGCTCCACCAGCTTCAGGAGGAGAACCGGAGGTTGGAGGAGCAGATCAAAACTCTGACTATGAAGAAAGAGAGACTGCAGCTTCTCAGCGCTCAGTTATCAGTGCCTTTCACTCCCACCACAGCCTGCTCTGGTACGTGCACATTCACAACTTAAGCAACTCTTTGTAGCGAAATAAATAAGGCTGGTTAAATAATTAACACATAATTAGAGTTACTTACTGCAAATGTCGGGTATAAACAGTATCTGCACCAAAACAAAAACGTTCACAGACATACACAATTTTGTGTTTTGGATTTGTGTCCGAGCTTTCCACTAAGTTTCGTGGAAATCTGTTCAGGGTTGCGATTACACAAATATGTTAATTTATTCAGACAAAGGAAAAAATGAACCAATGGACAGGGGCTGAAACGATCTCCTTGCTGGAATTACAAAGACAAAAAAAATCTAAATTTGTGTTGCAGATGTGAAAGGAGCCCAGCTTGGAGCCACCGACTCATCATTACCTGTTGCAGCTCAGGTAAAGACCAACAAGAGAAAGAACTGTAACAAATAAACATGTATGAGTCACTCAGAGAAGCACTAGGTCGTAAAGTTAGTTTAGTTCAGTTATGAGCTAATGTCTTAATGTTGATGATAAACATAGTGTCTCATCATTAACGTGTTAAAAACAGGGTCTGAGTGGAGGATTTGTCATTAAAGCCGTTAACCTCTTCTCTCAGGATAGTACTTCTTGTGGTGGCCACAGCAGTAGTGGCTCCACCTCCTCCCTCTCCACGCCTCCCTCCGTCTCCCATAGCCCACCCCAGCCGCAGCTCAATGGACTCGCCAATGTGGGGGCAACCCCGGCCGGGCTGGGCGTGGTAGCTGGGCTGATGGGTGCAATCGGCACGGGCAGCTCTCTGGGCATTGGGGGAATCGTTGGTGCGCTGAACGGGGTCATCCAGACACCAGCGGGCACCGGCAGCCCTCACCAACACACTAGTGGAGCAGCTACGGGCGTCACGTTGCCGGTCAACAACAGGTACGTGTTGGGTGTATGGTGTCAGATCAGACAAAATGAAGCCAGAACAGACTGGACCACTTAATCAAGTGTCATAACATGTAATGCATCATGCTGTTTTATGGGCATTCTCAAAATCATTGCAAGCGATACCTCTCCTTACCAAGACCGATACCTGGACTTTGTATATTGGCTGATACCACGTACCGATCCAATACCAGTAATAACAAACGAAACAACAACACGAAATAACAAGTTGTATAACGTATTTTAACAGCTGTTTGCTGTTATCCCTGTACGGGGGTGATGATTGCCATCCCTCCTACACGTCTGCATTTTACTAAAATTGCTATTAGCTCGCTCTGACTAATGCTACACTATCAGAAATCTCTTCTTCTCAACTGCTGTAAAAACAAAACTGCTGTTTTGGAGCAGTGAAGAAACGATTTCTGGGAAAAGAAAATTGCACTTTTGTCTGGATCAAATGTAAAGATGTGGTATCAGATCAGTGCATAGATTTGCACACTCGCTGATGTCCCACCCGGCATTTTCTGCAGTTTCTGAGGCAGAACATGTCTCGTTATATCGCTTGTCCTCCTATCAGTTTATAGTCCATGGATTGGAGCTCTACAAACATGCTCCCTAAACATTTTACATTTGAGCTTTCAGGCTCTGTCGCATTTCATCTCATCACATCCACACCAAGAAACTGAAAACACCAGAATCATTTCATCGAAATGTCAGAGACCATATTTGTCTGGCAGCTTCATCTCTGTTCTTTTTCAAGAGGTTTGTATGTGAACTTTATTGGTTCCTCTCTCTTTCTCTGTGTTTCCTTTTGCTTGCGTGTTGGATTCTAGCAGCTCAACAACTAGTAAGAACAGGTGAGACACAAGTCAGATCAGTTCTTTACGTCGGACAGAGACAGGTTGTAAAAGCGTTTGTGATTTTGAATATGGAATCGACTTTTAAGTTTTCTTTATAATATTGCAATAGCAGTATATAACATTTTTTAAATATTTGTTTTATGGACATTATTGACAGAAGTATTTTATTGTTGAAATGCAGTAGTGTGTATAGAGTGTTTTTATTGTTGTCGTCTGACTGAGTTGTGTTTTGTGTCAGTGCCGCACGGCTTGGTCTGTTGTCTGAGCAGCACAGACTCCTCCTCCAGCAGCATCAGCTCCAGCAGCTGCTGTCCTCGCAGCCTTCAGCGGTACGGCACACACACACACACACACACACATGCACGCACACATGCACGCACACATGCACTCTGAGCTACACTGAGGTTTTTTTTGGACAATGACCTAAATCGCCAAGCTTAGTAATTCTTCTTTTTTCTCCTCCTCTTCACCCCACCTGTCTCCACTCTGTCTCTTCCCCATCTCTCATTGTTGTCCTCCTTCACATTTTTCCCTTGACCTCATCCCATCTCTACCACTCCATCTCTTCTCTCCTGTCTTTCTTTTTCTTTCGCCTCCTGCATCTCTCTCTTCTCCCTAGGAGCATCAGCAGGTGTTGCTCTACCAACTGATGCAGCAGCAGCAGGACCTCCAGCAGCTGCAGACCCTCTCCTCCTCGTCGCAGATTCCCTCCATCCCGCTCTCCTCCGCTCAGCTTCCTATGAACAACCTGATGCCCGGCGCCCAGAACCAGAGCCAAGGCGCCATCACAGCCAACCCCTTCCTGGCGCTGCAGCACGCACACACTGACACGCACCCCTCGGGGGCCCAGAAGCCGCGGCTCGCTGAAAAGGCCGTGGGCATTGCAGGGCAGGAGAAGACATGACGGCAGATGTTCTTTTGTTTTTTTCCTTTAAATAAATATGCAGAGTTTTGGGGAGATCAGCCTGTTGGTCAACTTTGTTGTTCGACTAGAACACTGGCAGAAGAAGCTGTGTCCGGGTAGATTATTCTTTAGAACGGTCTGTGCTAACATGTTAACACACACTGTGGTGATTGATAACTGAAGACAAAAGTAAGAATTACATTTTTTGTCTTTTTCTTTCACCAACTCTTTATTTTTGCAGCTTTTGTCAGGTATTTACACATAATTTTGTGTAAATTTGTTTTATTTATTTCCATCCAGTCTTAGATTTCTTAGTTTGTTCTGTAGCGCTGCTTCAGGTTTTAATTTTTACTGCTGAGATAAGTTAGTTTGTGTTATAAGTGTCACCGCAGCACAGGGTGATATGTGTTCTCTCCCCAACAGGTGAGGTGTCAGATGTGCTTCCACGAAACATTACCTTTAATTATTTCTCTCTAACATTTTCTTCACTTTTCGTCATTTCTTTTTCTCGTTGCTTCGTGTCTCCCGTGTGGTGTCACTACTATTTCACTCTCAGGGGCCTCAGCTAACCAGAGTCGTGCAGTCAGCACACAAGCTAGCACACACAGAACTACAAATATAAAAAAAAGATAGCAGAAATGCATTAATATTTAAAACAAAAAAAACTACAAGTCCCTACCACAAAGACTTAAAAGTGCAGATGTATGTTTGACATCTGTCTCACAGCGAGTCCCTTGGGGAATATTTGGTGAGAGGCTCCTGGCAAAAAAAGAAATCCTACATGTTCTTGCCACTGCCTCTCTCTCCCCGTGTGTTTCCCTCCGTTTGTGTAGATCCATTAATGTCAGTGAGCCAAGTCTCGTACGGTCACCACAGAAGCCTTGCTTTTCACTGTCTCCTCTCTGGGCCAGAAACAGGGGGCTCACTCAGGGAAATGAAATGGAAGAAAAGAAGAATACAGCAAGTTGAATGTTAAAGAGGGAAACTTGAACCCGCACAGCACACGCTCTCAAAGAAACGATCCAGTTGGTTGTCAGCACATGGAAAGTCGTCACATTTCATCCCCCTGATTGAGCCCCCTGCTGCACCTACCTCTCAAGCAGGACCAGCCTATCAGGACCTAAAATATGAGGCCGATGTTAGCGGCCGCCTCACGACCTCGCAGCAGTCAGGACTGGCCAATCAGGGTCCAAGCCCAAGTGCCTGAGGCCAAGGTGGGATTTATCTCCCCCCTTTCTTTTTACCTGAGTCCCTGTCGCTCAGCCCAAATCTTCAATAACCCTTTCTGGCAATTAAGCTGCGTTGCTTTGCAACAGATTACAGAAACACTCAGTGGCGTCTTTTTAATGAAACCAGAAACACTGATGATTCTGCTGCATTCTCTTCTATCAAAGCCAACTTGTATTGTGCTTTTTATTTATTTGGAGTTTGTTTGTGTAATGGGCGTAAGATGAAATATTTTAAAAGCCCGCTGGTGTTGCAATTTAACATCATTTTGTACTACTGTGTATAGTTTTGTCTTCTGTTTGTTTGAGATTTTCTCCGTACAGTCAGATGTTGCTGTAAACCCTTTTTATTGACTTTTTTTGTGTCATGTGTTTTAAAGCTAGAAGTTACTTGATAGCTGGCTGATGGGAACGAGGGGGTGCGGTTGTACATAGTGGTTTGTTTGGGTGGGATCGGGTGGGTGGAAACGTGTCAGGGGTTGGGGGAAGTTCAGTGGCACAGTTTTTACCTCGTTAAGTGTACATAGAACCTTTCTCATTGGCCTTTGATGTGTACATATGTGATTGTGATTGGCCGCGCTGGTGTGAAGGAAAGCCAATGAAGCCTCAGTTTGTGTGTGTGGATCTTTAGGACCAGACAAAAAAAATAAGGTTGACAGTGACTGGACACACAAAGTATTAATTTATTTTTATATGTGCAGGGACATTGTGTTTTTTTTTCTTTTCTTTTTTTCTTTTTGCACCATTTTATTGATGAGAAATTCATTTTATACTCTGGGCACCGTGTTTTCATCTGTGCGCACATTTGTTTTGATCAGTTTTGTACAAGTGGAAGATAAAAAGAAAAATCAGGGGGTGGGGGGGGTGACATTGTATTTCAAAATACCAAAATAAACACTCTGGATAAAGTAACAAACGCTGAATTTATTCTTCTGCAGTTTGAGAGAATTTATTAGCAAAATAATGAGAAATCAATTCTGAACAATCCAAAACTTACAGATGTTAAGAAGATAAACATGTAAATGTGTATGTAAGACAAAGAATAGCACTCTTCAAAATTCACCAGTAAATAATGCAACATCTGTAACGTGGGAGCGCATGTACACAAGTGATTTCTAGGTGACTGCTGATTGGTTTGATTAAAGGAAACATAGATTAGATATAAGTATAATTAAAGAATATATAATGAGAGGTTTTGCAGTTTCCAATTCTAAAGTTGGCATTAAATATGATATGAAACAGATTTGTTGATTTGATTAACCTGGTTTGTATTGTGTGGTAATTAAAGCAGAAAGGTACGAGGAGAAGACGGCAACAGGATGAGATTTATTCACTGACAATGAGGAGGAACATGAATAATCATCAGGAGAAGAAGAAACTGAACATCTTCAATTTTAAACAATGTGCTTCAAGGCTGCTGTCCTGACACACACACACACACACACACACACACACACACACACACTGGTGTTACACGGCAGCTGGAAGTCATCAGCTTTGTGTATGTGTGTGTGTTTAGAGGTGGGGGCATGATTTCTGCTACATCTGCTTCTGCCCTGGTAATTAAAAGCTCACTTTTGTCCTCCTCCTCCCAAAACTACACCCTCCTCACCCCCTTCAGGAGTTTTCAGTCCCTCACACACACACACACACACTCTCTCTCTAACCTGCATTCTAACAACAACACAACCCCCCTTTTCTCTTTACCCAGGTTCTTGCCCCCCCTCCACCCACTATCAGCCCTGTCAATCAAAAGCCAGGCTGTTTAAACACCATCCACCACCCAGGACCCTCTCCCCTCTTTTATAAGCCTCCACCATCACAGCTACACATAAAAGCACCACACACACACGCACACACACACACAGATATGGGGCAGAGCTGCTGTGTCCATCATCGATCACACTCCCCCTGGAAACCCTCCCTGGCGGCGGTGGGGGGGGGGCTTACCAGCTGATGGAGGACCCCTGTGTGCTGCCCGACCAGGTGCCCGATCACAAATTCAAAACACTACTAAGCCCTGGTGTTAGGAGACAGATCTCTCCCTCTCCCTCTCTCTCTCTCTCTCTCTCTCTCTCTCTCTCTCTCTCTCTCTCTCTCTCTCTCNCACACACACACACACACACACACACACACAGAGGGAGCAGATAGTGGGCCAGCAGGAGGGTTAAGCCCTGGATGATTAGACAAATGTAGGGCAGATATCTGTGGCTTCAGAGGCGAGCTGAGCTGCTGTCACTGAGGAATGCTGTGCAGCTGCATGGATAGCTGCCTCTGACTGGGCGAGCATGGCAACTTTCAGTCTCTGCTTTCTAGTAGTTTTCTTTTCCGCTTCAGAATGAGCCAGAGAGGCAGGAGAGCAGAACTCACTGCAGTCGAGAAACGTGGAACCAGAAGAGAAAGACGAGCTTGATTCGATTCTGGATTTTGTTTGTTTTGTCCTGATTGCATCTGGAAAAAAAACTTTCACATCTTGAAATCATTTGAGTTGAGGAATTTAACATTTCCACTACAGACATAGTTACGTGTTTAGTTCACCACAAATAGAGATGTTTAAATCGACTTTGATGAAAAGGCAGAATTTGAGTTGTGACTTTTTACATAGATCTAAAAGTCCACGTAAATGAATCCTGTCACCTTGAGAAAATCTTTATTCTTAACTTAAATAACACATTAATGCCAAAAATGTATCATTAAAAGCTGAAGGATTGTTATTTAGATTGTGGGACAGCAACAGTTTTTATATTGTGAAGGCTCCTGAACCAGAAGACATTTTGTCTCATCAACTGAAGTTTATTATTTTAGTGCAGCAATTTAAAATGCACAATCGTAAAAAAAAATTCTAACAGACATTGGTTTCATATTGAAACGTTGTTTAAAAAAACAGTTATCTCTGGGTGAATTTATTTTTACTCAAATTTTCTTTATTTCAATTTGCCTTTCATTTATTGTAGTTTTATCCTCTTGTGAAGCACCAACTAGGCTTATTTTTATTGTTAGTAGTAGTATCATAACATACTCACCTTTATTAGTTATTTTGACAGTATAGTTTATTTTATTTTAAACTGCGCATATTTACCTAACTTTCTTTGTCAGTTTTGTGAAAATGGTATCAGTCATTTAAGGCGTTTGACTTTTCATTAAATTAATTCCGCTTTAATTGAGTCACCATGTTGCTTTGCTCATCAGGAAAATGAGTCCCATCTGCATCAGACCTGCTTAAATACTGTTTGCTAATTGGACCGTACCATGTTCCTCTGCATCATGGGGAGGTGAGATATTTCTAATTAGCTATTTTGCTTTTGTATTTTCTTTCCTACAATAGTTTTGATTGGCTGAGTCATTAGTTTTGTACTATCGTTATTGTTAGTGGTGCTATTCTGACACGTTTTGGTTATTTTTGTTGATTTATTTAATTGTTTACCCCTTGTCTTTCTTTTTTTCCTCATCAGCTCCTTTGTCTGAAGGCGTCAGGTCAGTCGGCTCAGTCCTCTTATGTTTACCAAGAATTATTGTTGTGAGTATTTTTTTCTGAGTCTCTTTGCTCAGTCCTTGACAGAAACACATGGTTGTTCACAGGACTTTAAATTTCAGTTATTTATTCCTGCAATTTTTTTATGCTTAGCAGAAATTAAAGCAAAATCATAAAACAACTAAACCAAGTGCCATGAGTTAATCTCTGCACAGGTTTTGGCATATGTTTGGTAATTCAGTGAAATTATTTTGCAAAACAGAGGGAGAGGGGGCAAAGAGCAATAATGCAGAAAAAGGCTCTGGTGTAATAAACCATTAGCAGGAGGAGAAGGAGGCAGTCGCTGGTGTGTACAGTAATGCAGTGTAAATCATCACAGAGTGGTTGCTATTAGGAGGCTTAAGCCTGGCCAGGAACCTTCAGTCAGCTGCCAGGGGCCCTGATCCGGTGCCGAGCGGAACCAGAGCTGGCAAACGGAGGTGTTTAGAGCTGGTGCAGGAGGAAGAGGAGGAGGAGGAAGGTTAGGAGGAGAGTTTAGGAGGGGGGGACAGCTGAGGAGATTCCCAGGGTACGTGTGTGTTTTGTGTGTGTGTGTTTGTGTGC